GTCCATCCAGACAACATTCCATAACTAGGAAAGTTACTTATGGTCTACAAAAACATTGCTCACATCGTAAAGTTTATTTTCGTTGAACAATCATACGTCCTTACCCTTACTGACGACAAATCTTTCAACTCTTTTATCAGTTGTTGTAGAAAAACATCTAGAGACCTTTTCTGGATTCTTCAGACCAGGAATTAATATGGTCAAGAATAGAAACTCCCATTGCATGCATATCTTCGGTGGTAAATTGTATGGCGTAAGAATGACTAGCCTCAATGAATATTGTCTCCTTGGCATTCTATATGGACTAAATCCATATGTGCACAATCGAAGATACACATTTCGAATAATTCTACTGAAATATAGATGTACTGTATTAAAATGTTTTCAAGCTCTTGCCTCTGATGGATGAGTGAGCTCACCATCCGTCTGAGTATGTTCGAGATGCCATCTCATCCCATCAGCAGTCCGCTCAGACTGGTACAATCTTTTCAACATGTCTCTAATTGGTAGGTACCACATCCTTTGGTATGGTACTCTATTACGCCCTCGTCCTTGCCGGTTTGAATCGTGGCTTCTTGCAGAGTCGACATTCTTCTAACTTCTCATCATTTCCCTCAACAGATCATGCAATTGTTGATGCAAACATATCTCATCTCCAAAGGCAACCCAAAGACTATAACCAATTTCTAAATTTCATAATAAGAATCAGCTGACACATTGTCTTCTGACAAATACTCTTTAAACAAGTCTCCCCATGAATCCATGCAATTTTCAGATAGCTTGTGATATTTTTTTAATATTTTTCATCATAGCTGCTAACGGCAATTTAAAGGGGCCTTCTCTACAACCACTGTAGATTGGCTGATTCGCAGCAACTAACATTTCATAAAACTCTTTTACTACTATGTTAGGTTCTTCAACTTCATCAGCTACAAATGCTTCCATTACCATATCATGAACCCTATATCATAATATACCATCTGCTCGTCCTGATGGTAACTATTTTCAACCACTTCATCTTGATTACTATTATTACTAGCTTATTTCACAATTATAACTTTCTCCATATTGAAACCAAATATATGGCGTGAAACCTTTATTTACTAAATGCTTCCGTATATTTTCACGAGTGGCAAATTTTGTATTGTTGCATTTTTTACAGGGACAAAACATCTTACCGCTTTCCTGTTTGACCGGTGCAGAATTTGTTTGATGTATAAATGTCTCCAGCCCATCAAAAAATTATTTCGTCCTCTCATGTTAGCATCTCTGTGTGTATACAACCAACTCCACAACTCGAAAATATTTTCATCACCAGACATTTTTTTCTTTCACATTTTTGGGTTTTTTGGTGTGTTTCATTTGAAAGACAAAATGACATAAAATTTTTAAACTTGGTAGGTGAATTTTACTAGGAAATTATGAGGAAATATAATTTGTAAGCCCAACCAAAAATACCTTTTCACCTAAAAATAGTTATACTCGAGACCTCATCGTTAAAGAGGCGTAAAATATTTCGTCGTATAATAGAAGCTAGTTTTGCATCTAATTTACGATGAAAATATATTCCTCTTAAATTACACGTAAAATAACTTTGTTCTTACGACGAAAATGTATTTTTGTTACTTTACAATGAAATTACTGGAATTTAATTTTTCTAGTAAAATTGACGTATACTAGACATATATTTATTAGTCTTTTGTTTTTTTTTTGTAAAATTTCCTAGTAAATCGGATATTTTATTGTTGTGCATGTCTAGTTAGTTTTTTATTGTAATTTTTTTTTTAAAACGAAAAAAAAACAGTTTTTAGTTTGACTTGATTTTAGAAAACTACCTCAATATTAATAACTAGGTGTTATCCTGCACCATGTGTAGAAATACAAATTTTAAAAATAAAATTATATTTATAGATAAAATCTAGTTAATTTTTTATTTTATTATTTTGTTACATTACTAAATTTAATTTAATTATATGTAAAAATTAAGATAAATTATAAACATTTTATTTAAATTTATATTAAATAATATATATGTATATTTTAAAATTAATATTTTGGGACGATTTTGTTTTATATTTTTTATTTTGGTTAAAATATGTTAAATCAGATTCTATAAAATTAAGAGAAGATTTTACTAGGTATATAGTTATCAAAATATTAGATTAAATAATATTTCTAAAATTTAGAGATGTTATAAATAAAACTAAACAGTAATGTGATTAGAAAAGTATTTTTTTTTAAAAAAACCATATAAAACTTTGAAAAAAAAAATTTCTTAGAAAATATTTCAAATTTTTTAAATATTTTAATATTTCTATTTCTACTATTATATTCTTTGTTGTTATGTTAAATATAATTTATGAGTTGCTACCATACTCTAAGAACTTACCAAAAATATATATTAATATTGAATATAAATGTACATGTCACAATTAACTTTAAACCATGTCATCATTATTAGTGAACATGTCATCAGTTTTTTGGTACAATTGATTGTGGTGAAAATGACACATGTTAAAATCAATTCACAAATAATGTATATTATGTGTTTTCCTACACCATGTGCAATAGGAAATTTTTTAAGCTTACATTATATTTAATAAGAAATTGTATTAATATTATAGTTTTTATTATTTTCTTACCAACATTTAAATAGAGATTTGATTTAGTTAAACATTAAATTAAGATAAAATATTTTTTTTATTTAAAATTATATTTAAGAATCTATATGCTTATATTTAAAATTATAATCTTAGATGGATTTTTCTTTTCATTTATATTGCTTAAATATATTGAGTTAATGTGTATAAAATTAACAAAAGTGATATAAAATTGTATAATTATCAAAAATTTAAACTAATGATTTTACATTATCAATTTATATTTTTAAATTTTTTTAACAATTTTTGAAAACTTTAGTAATACAAACTTTATAATATAAAAATAAGATAGAATAATATTTCAAAATTTGTAATGTTAAATTTAAATATATTTTTTTTTAAGGATGATGTATGAGTTATTACCATAATTTAATTTCTTATCTTAAATAAATATCAACATTAAATGTTAAGTATATGTTATTACCATATTTAAAAAGTTTAGCAAAAATATAAATTAATATTAAATGTAATTATCAAGGTCATATTTTACCATAAGCCATGTCACCAATTTTAGTAGCCATGTCAGATTATTTTTTTCGTGAAATTGATTGTAGAAATAACATGTGGATATATAAGAAACTAATGATTTAAATTAAACAATATTTACGAAATTTGTAGATGTATACGAAACTAGTGATTTTACGCTTAGAAATTTATATTTTTAAAAACTTGTAGCAATTTTTGAAAACTTTAGTAATACAAACTCTATAATACAAAAAAAAAATAGTATAATATTTCAAAGTTTGTATGAATATATTTATTTTCAAGATGATGTATGAGGTATTACCATATTTTAAATTTTTTTACCATAAATAAATATCAATATTGAATGCAAAGTATGCGTTATTATCATATTTAAAAAGTTTACCAAAATATAAATCAAAATTATTTAATTATCCATGTCATATTTTGTTATAAGCCATGTCATCAATTTTATTAGTCATGTCATAGTTTTTTGTAAAACTGATGGTAGAGATGACATGTGACAAAATCACTTCGCAAACAATATATAGGAGATTTTTTTTTGCATTTGTAATAAAAAAATAAAAAGTGACTCTGAATTCAAATTATACTGGAAATCCCATTGGTCCAATGATTTAGTTAAAAGTTCATTAATGTTTCTACACCAATTGATATGAGTTTCAATTTTCTATACATGTAAATTATGCAGAATATTGGAGACACAACTTACAAGATATCTTTAGTTTATCGTAAGAACCACCATGATCAATAGATTTCATAGGATAGTTAAGGGTATTACAATCAGACACAAATTCTCATATGATAAATAAAATTGTTGATTGTAATATCGTCTATTTAATATTTTTTGTGTTTTATAATAACATAATTAATAAGTGTTAAAAATGTAAACCATTATTTAAGATGTGTACACATTATCTAAACTATGAATTGTATAACGTAGAATAACAAGTTGAAGATAACTTTCCAAAAGGCGACGAGTTTTATATTATTATGTGTGCAATCATACATTACTTCCACTAGAACTTACCTTAAGAACATTGTTTAATAATTAGAGATCTACCAAATAGAAAAAGCACTATATGAAACAACCATAAGAGCAATCTATTGCAAGGAAATAGATTTTTAGTAGATAATGATAATGATTATAAAATGACAAAGAAATGCAGATTAGTTATAGTAGGACCCTTGGCCCTTATCAATGTGAATCTTAATAAAGAAGAACATTAGAAAATGTAATTTCGTAGACATAGCTTTATATGCTAATTCTTTTCTAGATTAGATTTTGTAGTACGTACATTCTAATATATGATAAATGTTTTTTTTAAATGAAAAATGTTAAAACCAAAATATGATAATAACACTAATACAAATCATACAAAAAAAAAAAAATAGTTATTTTGTCAAGGGTCAAAAAAATTTTGAGACTGCCTGGTAGCATATTTGTCAGTTAATTAAACTTTTTATCCTTCTTTGTCAGTTACAGCAGGTAATATAAAGTCTGTTTTATTTTCAAAGACGAATGTATGAACATGTATATTTCTGGCTTACTGTATTATATAGGCAAGAAATATAAAATTAATTTACAAATTGTACAAAGATTTGCAATAATTAAATGCGATAAAAGCAATGTCGACAAAAAAAAAAATGCAATAATGTACTGTTAGATAAAGTTAAAGAGGCTTATAAAATTATTTCTTAACTTCTTTGGAAGAAAAAGATTAAAAAGAACAATTTCTTCCCCCTTCAAGAATTAAAAAAAAAAAAAGACTGTCTATTGATTCCACAGGTCTCTCTCTCTCTCTCTCTCTCTCAAAGAATTTAGAAACTTCAATTTTCTTTGATGAGTTAAACCTCCTTTTTGTTATATTTCGTTCTTCTTGGTTACAAAGCATTCTGAAATAAAGCTCTTTTGACTTTTTTGTTAAACTTCTCATGGAAGTTATTGGGGTCTTTGTGGTGATTACTCAGTGAGAAATTCTGGGTTTTGCTTGCTTCATTGAGCTAAAACTTGAAGAATCTTTGAATTTTACTAATCGTCTGCAAGTATGGAGCTTTCTTTTGTGAGTATTGTTCTTCTAGTAGGGTTCCTCATTGTTTCCTGTGACGCATTGGCCTCTAAAGAAGGTACATGATTTCGGAACCTGGGAAAGTCTCAGAAGTTTTAGTCTCTATGAAGAATGCATGTTATCTGAATTAGTTGTGAAGAGTTTGCTTTTTAAACTAAGAAGTTGAAACTGTAGTGTTGTTGTTGTATCAGTGGAAGCTCTTAGGAGACTCAAGGAGGCTATGTATAAAGACCCTTTGCTAGTTATGTCTAACTGGGATGACCCGTCTTCCGATCCTTGTGATTGGAATGGCGTTAAATGTTTTCCATCTAAGGATCATATTATCAAACTGTAAGAAGCTCTAATCCCTTTCTGCCTTCCTCCTTTATCTGTAAAGTTATTTTTTTTTCTTAGAAGACATTGGATATATGTTTCATGCCGTGGATTAATGCAGAAATATATCGGAAACACTGTTGAGAGGGTTTCTTGTGCCAGAACTTGGTCATATAACCTACTTGCAAGAACTGTATGGTTCTGATTCCTGTTTACACAACACCTGAAAATATGCAAGTTTTATGATGGATAGAGAATTTTTTTTTATTCTTTTTTTTTTTGTGTGGTGAATGATTCTTTAGGATCCTGCATGGGAACATTCTAATGGGGACAATACCAAAAGAGATAGGAAAGTTGAAGAAACTCAAGATCTTAGACTTGGGAAACAATCATCTAACAGGACCCATTCCAGCAGAGATTGGGAGTTTGTCTAACATTATGATAATGTAAATTACAAAGTCATAAATTTTGGCAATCCTTTTAACGCTTGCAATGTCATTTAATCTGGTAATGTGCTGAGATAACCATTTTTGTGTTTGTAATTATATTGCAGAAACCTTCAGTCCAATGGTTTAACTGGAGTGTTACCTCCAGAGATTGGAAACTTGAAGTACCTTGGAGAACTTCTTATTGAAAGGAACAGGCTTCATGGAAGTATTCCTGGGGTTGCTACAACATCGAAAAAGTGAGTTTAGCCAAATAGCCTGATAGAGGGAATACAATGAACACTTTTATTATTGTCTATTATGAAAAATGTTAAATATAGGTTGTTTCTGTCTGTCTGAATCATCAGGTACGATTCAAATCTAAGTGCAAACAACATTTCTGGTTTGTGCAAGTCTCCTCATTTGAAAGTGGCAGATTTCTCCTACAACTTTTTCCATGGAAAGATCCCGACTTGTTTGAATTACCTTCCAAGGTAAGATAACATCCATTTTATCTCTGTCTCGGATGTACTTTCTTTCATCTGATAATATCTCTCTTTGTTGCGTGGTAGAGAGAGGTTTCAAGGAAACTGCATGAAAACAAAGGACGTTAAGCAGAGGACTTCTTCAGAATGTGGTTTGTAGAAATTTTACTTTATTGACATCTATAAGATAATCAGAGGCCTTCTTTTACCTACTTTTCTTTCATTTTTGAATAGCTGCGTTTGTGGCGAAGACTAAGAAGAAGAGACGACTATCGAGACCTATGTGGCTTCTGGATTTTGAGATAGTCACTGGATCATCGGTTGGTTTGCTCTTTCTAGTTGTGACCCTCTCTGCATTACGCTTCTGCAACTTAAAGCGCACTCTCATCGTGCCTTGGAAGAAATCTGCAAGTGAAAAGGAGCACTTCACCGTCTACGTTGGTTAGTTACTTGTTAAAAGTTTCCAAGATGATAAAAGAGTTATAACAGAGAACTGGTTTCTGTATTACTGCAGATTCTGAAATGCTGAAGGATGTTTCAAGATTCACAAGACAAGAGCTCGAAGTAGCGTGTGAAGACTTCAGCAATATCATCGACTCTTGTGCAAATAGTCAGGTTTACAAAGGAACAATGGAAGGCGGGACTGAGATTGCAGTGATCTCTCTCTTCTTTAAAGAAGAAGATTGGACTGGATATTTTGAGCTTTATTTCCAGAGAGAGGTCCTTCTTCTTCTTCTTCTTCTTCTTCTTCTTCTTGTGTCATCACTGAGTCCCTTGCAAGAAAACATTAGTTAAATCCTGACTATTCATTGTTTCAGGTTGCGGGTTTGGCTAGACTAGACCATGAAAATGTGGGGAAACTACTTGGATACTGCAAAGGGAACAAACCGTTTACAAGAATGCTTGTTTTTGAGTATGCATCAAACGGGACACTATATGAGCACCTCCACTGTAATATAATGATCAAATGTTTTCCTTAGAGCTATGTTTTCTTGCAGTTTCTACAAGAGTAGACTAGAGTTAGCTGATAATATGTTTTTGTGCAGATGGGGAAGGTAGTTTAGTCTCGTGGGCAAAACGCATGAAGATTGTGATAGGCATCGCACGTGGTCTCAAGTACCTTCATACGGAACTTGATCCTCCATTTACAGTCTCTGAGCTTAGCTCAAATGCAGTGTATCTCACTGAAGATTTTACTCCAAAGGTAACATTGAACCTAGAACAGTTAGCTAAAGATTTGCTTCTATACTCTTAATTCATTTCTTCTTCTTTGCAGCTGGTTGATTCTGAATGCTGGAAGACGGTTCTGGTGAGGTCAGAGAAGAACTTGAGGGATATAAGTAGTGAGGGAGCTATATGTGTTCTTCCCAACGCAATGGAGCATCGAGATCAGAATTTGAAAGGGAATATCTACTCATTTGGCATACTTTTGCTGGAAATTGTGAGTGGAAGGCCTTCTTATTGCCAAGAAAGAGGCTGCTTGGTTAAATGGGTAAGAATAGCTTTTCTCTATTAGCCTCTCTTTATGCTTTAAGTCACAAACCCTTTCTCTTATCCCATTTTCGAAACTGGAGAGAGTTTGAAACTTTGCAACTGTGTAAACCAAATGGACTTGGTTCATTTAGTGAGAGTATACTTTGAAACGTAACTGTGGTTTTGTGGTGTAGGCAAAGGAGTATCTTGGTGCACCAGAAGTGTTGGTGGATCCTGAGCTAGAGCATTTCAACCAAAAGGAACTGGAGGCGGTATGTGAAGTGGCGAGCCAATGCTTGAACTTGGACCAGAATGATGAAGAGACTTGTTGTTTGGTTAAAGAGCTTTGTGATACGCTAGAGAGTAGAATCAGTGTGTCCATTTCAGCAGGGCTCAGGTCGTCTTCTTTGGCTTGGGCCGAACTCGCTCTAGCTTCGCCTTCTAATGAAGACAGAGATGAAAGGAATAAATACCCCCTCTAATAAGCACTCCAACTTTTAAATAAATTAGTCTTTTTTCTTTGTTTTGACGTTAATTTGTTCGATCAATGTATTAATTTTGTCTTTTGTCCTTCGGTGGTGCTAACGTACATCTGATCTCTGATCTGTAAACTTTGAAAAAAAATGTTAATCTATTTAAAAAATGTTTGAGGTATTAGCAACTAACAACATGGCAGAAAGTTCATATTTCAACCCTAACAATTTAGATTGTGACTTTTCATATCCGAACAAATAGTAAGTGCGGTTTCATATCCCAACTGTTCAAATATGAAAATTTCATACCCAAACTTAATTATATGACTCGCGGGTGTTTAGTCTCAATTTTGTGAATGTATAAATCTTGTTTTTACATTACTGAGAAAATATTCTTAATATTAAACACATTTTCAAAATATTAATATAAATTTTACAAACACAATAATGTTATAGTTTTTATGTTTGTCATCTAATTAGTTGTTTTAAACCATCACATTTATTTGCAAATTATTATTACGACAAATCTCTCAAATAATTTTTTTTAATTTTTATTACAAAAATAGACTTCAAAAACTAAATGAATAAAATAACATTTTTTGAAATTTGAAAGTCTGTCTCCAAAAGGTATAAGTGTATATTTAATTATTTTTGATAAAATAATTAAATCTATTTTGGTCATATTTATTTTGAGACAACTAGCGTAATACCCATAACTGAGGCCAATATTAGAGGATTGTCCATTGATAGACATTAATGGTCAAAATCTTACAATTATGCTTGGAAATGCTCAACATGTCCATCTTTAACTGAAAAAGTTTCTGCTGGTAATAGAGAAATGTCAGAAGAGAGGAAAGAGACATGTTGTCTATATGTGTTGCTAGATTTTCTTAAACGCTAGAAAAATTATCAAATAATAATATTTTTGAATGTATAATATAAAAATATTATAATAGATAAAATAATTTAACATTTGATATAATTGAAAACATAAATTATAATTAATAGCAAAATTTCAACATAAATCTATAATTTGTTATAAATTCGGTATTACATGTACTTGTTAACAGCTAACACATATGTTAACATACACAAAATTTATTAATAGTTAATGTCTCTGTTAATAACCACTAGTGTCGATTGTTAACAAAGTTGTTAACGGTTAACAAATAATGTAGATGTTAACAGAGGCTTTAGCTGTTAACAAATACATGTTCCATATGTTAACAGAGGTGTTAGTTGTTAACAAGTATACGTATCAGAAGTGTTAACATAAGTGTTAGATATTTATAAAAATTATATATCTTAATAGAGGTGTCATGTATTAGTTGTTAACAAATAAATATCACTGCATTTTGTATTTCCCAATCACATTGAGTAAATTTAAAATTAAAAATTATTATTTAAGAATCAAAGTGAACTCAAAAAAAAAAATATTTAACATATTTATTTTGCATGTAATTCATTTAAAATAATAAGAGGAGAGACGAGCATTGATAAAAACGAAAAGAGAGGAGAGAGGATTAGGCTGACATGCCTATGGGTATAGGTTGAAATGGGAAAGAGAAACCAAGGGCATTTTAGTCATTATTTTGTAATAGTCACATCATGGGTAAAACTCTAATTAGAAGTCTATTTAGGATATACCAGCAAATAATCTCTTTTATTTTTAAGGTCTATATTTGTGACAAAAAACTTTTAGCTCTCTCCTATAAATTTTTGCTTATTATTATTACTATATTTTTATTTCATTGGGCTAAATTTTGATTATTAGGCGACTTAATATATACAATTAACTGATTTGGTATATATTTTCTATTTAACTCATATTATTTAAATATCATATCTAAATGTATAAGTAATAAAAATAATTAACGAATTTAGTAATTTATTTGAATTTTATGAAAATTTTAAAATATAAAAGTACACTTATTTCAAATATATAGAATTAGTTGTTTATAGATATGAAATGAAGTATTGAATATTAAAATTAATAACATTAATTTATCTTAAAATATGTTATATTCGAAGATTTATTATTAAAACATAATAAAACACTACAAGAAAGCTCGTCCATTACTAGGACGAGTTTTCCTCGTTATTTCCTAGTAAATGACCATTTACTAGAAACTTACGAGGAAACACGTTTCGTCGAAACACGTTCATCGTAAAACCTTTTTCCTCGTAAGGTCCTAGCTAATTTACGAGGAAAAGTTTCCTTGTAAACGCGTGGTTAGATTTTCCTCATAAGGTCTTGATAGGGTTTTCTCGTAATGTCATAGTAAATGATTTCCTCGTAAGCTCGTAGTAATACATTACGAGAAACTTACTAGAATAATTTACGAGGACATTACTTTGAAACCTTTACGAGGATATTGCTTCGAAATATTTTTTTCCGTATTAAAAAATATTAGTTATAAATATAAATAATATATTTCAAAAATAAAAAATAAAAAAAATCAAATTATAAATAAAAATAAAAAACAAAATATTTTATAATAACTAAATAATATACAATTAACTTTTAAAATTCATAATATACAATTAAAAATAAAAATAAAACTACGGATGGTGCTCGTTAAATTGCCGAACGAAATCGTCTTGGCTCGCCAAGTCCTCCTCCTCTCTAAAGTTGGTTGCCGGCTGTGACTGTGATGTTGGAGGCCGTTGGGTTGGAAGCCCTCCGCGTTCTCGTCTCTGACGCAACATCTCCTCCAATTGCGGGTTTCCAACCGCCAAAATGTCGAGGACATCGGTGAGAGAAGTCACATGCTCGGTGAGTGAACTCACATGAGACTGCGTCGCCTGCCACTCCGAGCGCAGCTGAGCATTGACATCGGGCTGTTCCTAAGCATAAAACGATGTCACTGCGGGGACATCGTTAACCAAGCCAATCCCGACGATACGCCCCTTTTTCCTAGGGGCGACCTGTAAATAAAAATATTAATAACGTTAAGAAAAAATTTAAATAAATAATAAAAATTAATAGTAAAACAAATTATTTACCTCCTCGTAAATCTTATCCACTTCAAGAGTGGATAATATGACTGGAGTCCCAGTCTGCTGAGTCAGCTGGGTCTGGCGTTCTTCAACTCGGACAACAATCTCGTTGTAGATCCACTCGGAAGTAGGATCTACAAACTGCCCAGCTTTGTTCCGGTGGGTCCTCTGGTAAAGGTCTTTCAGAGATGGAAGAACTCATGTCTCTTTAGCCTAAAAATAATTTTTAAATTTAAATATTAATTTGGAATATTCAAATAGAGTAAAAATTAAATAGTTATTAAAAATCATCTTACCATGTCTAGACGAACTCCCCCGTGAGGTTTTCGACCCGTGGTGTGAAGCATCTTCGTGTTTCCATGCTCGTATTTAGTCATGCGGTTCCCGTAGTTTGTGTGGGAGGTTCTGACCGAGTCCGGCAACCCCCAATATCTGATGAGGCCATCCCGCACGTCGGATGTGAGGCAATCGGGTTTCCCGTCCTCGTAACCATCCACCTGAACAAAAAATAATAGAATTAAAGTCAATAAATGATTTAAAACTATATATATATATATATATATACAATTTATAAATCCAGACCTGAAAGTCGCACTTCCAGTTGTAGACCATGTCGAGCAATCGTGCTCTTGCCTTGAACTCAAACTCCGTCTTCACTCGCTGGTGAATCCCAATAGACCAACGATATTTTTGCTGTAACCAGAAAAACTAAGAGACGGATTAGTTCAATAATATTAATAATATTAAATAATTAAAAATAAATTAAGTTGATTAATTAAACTTACAGCGAACGATTTGAACCACGTATTTTTTGTGCGGCTCGGCGTCTTCTTCCAATTTGGAGCTGTATCGGGAAAGTATCACTTGATACAATCTGTGACGCTCTGAGCGACACATCCGTCAAGACCAAACCTGGAAAGAATAATTTGTAAATATTTTGTTAATTAAAAAATAAATTAAAACATTTTTTAAAAATTAAAACATACCATAGTACGTTGTGGCCGTCCCGTCGAATATGATCTAACTCTGGCAGCCCTTCTCTGCCTGAAAGGGCCAAAATATCCTCCACCGTGTGCACCGCAAATGGTGCGTTTGGCGGCACCTGTAAATCGGGATGAACCCCGACCGGTGGAGGAGGAGGAGGAGGAGGTGGTGGAGGAGGAGGTGGTTGCTCAAACCGGGACGCCGTAGAAACTCCCTGAGTCTCGTGAACAGCGTCAGGATCCAGAATCGAAGATGAACCGGGAGCTGACGAAGATGAACCGGGACCAGACTGACGCCCGAAAATATCTGCGTAGTGACTCCCCTGAAGAGGCCTCTTAGCCTTAGCAATCTTGCTCTGTCTGACCATCTAAATTTTTTTTTTTAAAATAAAACATTAATTCCCTTATAATTTAAAAAAACTGTTAAAAAAACTAAACCAACCTAATCTAAATTCCCTACACTAACTATCTAATATAAATTTCCTAATCTACTCACCTAACTAGGAAAGAGAGAGAACCTTTAGAGAATTCAGAGAGAAGTTTACTACAAATGAGAAATCGGATTGCTCGAGTTTATATAAGGAATTTTGTTTCCTCGTAAATTCCTAGTAACATTACTAGGCCTTTACGACGAAATAACTATGCCCGTGTTTTTATTTCCTCGTAAAGTCCTAGTAATATTACTAGGACTTTACGAGGAAACTGCTTTACGAGGAAATAGCTATGCCCGCGTTTTTTTCCTCGTAAAGTCCTAGTAATGGTATTACTAGGACTTTACGAGGAAACAGCTATGCCCGCGTTTTCTATTACTAGAGCTTTACGAGGAAAGGGTTTGTAAATCCCTAAACTCAAAACCCCAAACCCCAAACCCCAAACTACAACTTCCTTAACTTATAACCTCTTCTACAACCAAACTCCTAACCTCGTCTACACATAAACCCCAAATCCAAATTGATTTTGTGATTAAACAAACTTAAAACATATATAATCCAAATTCATTTTTGTGATTAAACAAACTTATAAACATACATAATTCATTCGGATACATTCTCGTAATCTGTTGAAACATCATCATTTTCTAAAAACTCGTCCTCTACACCTTCGTCCGTTGAGTGATCAGGAACATCTTCGTATTAACGATTATGCGGATCAATGAGTAGGATGTCATCAATTTCTGCTTCAGGTTCCTCGATAAGAG